GAACTTAATACACTAGATGCATGCTGGATAGCGGTCGATGTGTGGAGTAATAGTAGTAGATGCAGGCAGGAGTGGGTCTACTAATCTTGGATGTGATGCATATGTAATGATCATTGCCTGGATATCATCATAATTATTTAAAGTTCTATCAATTGCCCAACAGTAATTTGTTTACCCACCGTTTGCTATTTTTCTCGAGAGAAGCCACTATTGAAACCTACGGCCCCCGGGTCTTCTTCCTCATATATTTGCCTTGCGATCTACTCTTCCTTTGCATTTTTATTCAGATCTATTAAGCCAAAAATACAAAAATACCTTGCTGTGTTATATCTTTATTTATTTTATTTGGCGTTCGATCTATCAATCTATTACAATTTATCTCACGTTCGTTTGCCTATCTTGAGGCGCTGTACACCGGAAGGGATTGACAACCCCTTTAACACGTCGGGTTGCGAGGTGTTGTTATTTGTGTGCAGGTGCTGCTTATGTTGTGTTGCTTGGTTCTCCTACTGGTTCGATACCTTGGTTTCATAACTGAGGGAAATACCTACCGTCGTTGTGCTACATCATCCCTCCCTCTCCAGGGAAATACCGATGTAGTTCGAGCTACCATCAGCGACCCTCGATTCCCATGCGTCTGCCAGAAGGTGAGAAGACTGGTGTTTTTTTACAAGAACACCCTCCCAGGACCAGAGAACATGCCTATAAAATAGGCCAAGGGCGCATCGAGTGATTCATTCATCCTTAAGAAAGAAAATCCCATCCCGCTCAGAAAAACCTCAAGGCACATGGCCGGCGCCACTGGCTCATCCTCGCGCCCTCATGGCCAACTCCCACGCGACTGGCGCAGCTTCTCCGTTTCACGCCTTCAGTTGTGCGATCTCCAGCGGCAAGGGTACCTCCCAGCCGCGGATCTCATACCCGTCTGGGCTGGATTGACCTCGATGAACGGCGAAGCGTTTGCAGAGAACTTTTCTACACCAAGCAAGGATGAGAGGGTATGTTTTGTATCCTTCCTTCTAAGAGGCATATGATTTCCCATTCACCCTTTCCTAAGGGGCCTACTAGAGTTTTACGGGATCCAACTCCATCACCTTACCCCTGGATCAATTCTGCATATCTCTGGCTTCATCGCCCTTTGCGAGATGTTTCTGGGATGCGAGGCCCACTTTGAGTTATGGAGGAAGTATTTCTTCCTCGCCCCTCATACCCATGGGGGGGTCAATTTTTTAAGTAGGCGGAGCCGAAGTGTGTCGTATAGCCAGCACAGGATCCCTCACTGTGCAGTTTGCGCCGCTCCCGCGCCGTCCCCTACCCCGCAGACGGCTGGTCCGCAAGGGTAGCGGTGGGTGCTTGTGCCCGCCACTCCGGCTCGGACGCACACGCTAGAATCGGAGGCACGCGCCACCCACCGTGAGAGGAAACTAGCAAGTGATAGGGACACGGCGGAGCCCGATGAGGATGAGCGGCTCCTCGCTTGGGTCTATCGCTGGTCACTTATGATGGCGGAGATGGACGTTTAGCGACTCCGTCGGAAGAACACCAAGGCGCTCCGGCTTGCCATTGAGTAGTCGGAGCACGAGGCGGCGGGGGCGACCCAGGTGGCGAAGCTCAAGCAGCAACAGGACAGGGCCGTCCGATGGCTCAAATGGCTCATCGTTCTCTTCGACTCGTCCTCCAATGACGACTACGACCACGACGCCTCCTCCGAATACTCGGACGATTTACCACCAGCCGCCGATGCGTACAGCTGCGGCATCGACCAGAAAGGGAAAGGGCCGGCGAGGAAGTGGTGAAGATTCGTCGTCTCCACTTTAATTTCAAGTTTTTAGATGTAGTTTTTAAACTTGTCCGTTGTTTATATGCATTATGTGAACTTTGGCGGCCTTTTGGAGATCCGTTGGTGAACGAAGTGTGCATTTCTATGTGGGATTCTATGTTTGTTTCATGATGTACACAATTTATCCATATTGCATGTTTTAGTATGGATATAAGACATCAGATATGAGAGTGAATTTTTGGAACCCGGGTGTATTGAAGGACCTTATTTTAAATACTTTGAAAATCACATTTAATGTTTCAAAAAATTCTGAAAAAAATTCTACGTGGTCATATGGATGTATATTACACATGTGTAAAGTTTGGTAATGAAATAAGTAAATAGGCGACCTATATAAAAATGACAAAATGGTGATTTTCAAATAGTGAATAATGCATGCACTGTTCATCTTTCCAAAACCACGATTTTGTCATTTTTGTGTAACTCACATGGTTACTTATTTCAGCATCAAAATTTGCACATGTGTAATATACATTCATATAAACATGTTGATTTGTTTTCAGAATTTTTAAAACTTCAAAAAAGCATTTTGGCACAGTTCAAAAAATAGGGCTCCAATGCACCTGGGTTCCAAAGTGACTTTTTGATCAGATATGAGATACACGGATATGGACGACGCGATTTGAGGACTGGCCAATCAATGCCTGCGGACGCGTCCGCTGACATTTGAGGGCTCGGATTTGATGACCGCGCGTGTAGATGCTCTAATTCATTTTGTGTGACACCTGCGAACTAAGACTACGACACTTACCAAACTATAAACTATATACAGAACATTTTTTTGCGGGGGAACTATATACAGAACATACTCCCTTGGTCCTACGATGTAAGGCATTTTTTGACACTAAATCAGTGTAAAAAGCATTTTATATTATGGGACGGAGGAGTAATTTTTAACATGTCTTAGTAAAGTTAGGGAGACAAAACGATGTAGTCTACCAAATGCCTCGTGACTATGGCCTTGTTTGGTTCATAAGTCCTAGGACTTTTTTTAGTCCCAACTTATAAGTCCCAAGTCCCTATAAAGTCTCTGCCTGTTTGGTTTCTGGGACTTGTTTCTATAAGACCATATTATAACTATAAGTCCCTATAAGTCCCTCTTTGAGAGTCTTATTTCATAAGTTCCAAATATCCATTTTAAGTCCCTATAAGTCCCTCCTGATTGGTTTAGATGAGACTTATAGAGACTTATTTAAGTCCATAAACCAATAAATCCATAGAAACAAACACCCTTTATTTCTCATTCCATCAGAGGTCGCAAAGATGTCCGGGAACCGGGGTTGATTTTTCAAACAAAATCAACAACTTTCCAAGACGGAAAAGAGCACGGCCGCCGGGTAATGACAGGGACGCGGCGGCGACGCTCATCCAATCCCCTCCCCGGCGCAAAACAGCCTCCCTGCGAGTGGGTCCCTAGTCTACGACCCCCACGTCAGCATCACGGCCCGCCTCACCGTGAGTTGTTTATCCACTTGGACGGTTGGGCCGTTGGGCGGGCGGATACGCACGAACATCTCGAGATCCCCGCCCTCCGCCACTCCCGCGCGCTCCACGCTCCGCCGTCCGTTTCGCGCTCCGAAGATCCGGCCTCATCCACCACCACCTTCGCCCGCCGTCTCCCTCCCCCACTCGCGTCCCGGCCGTCTCCTTTCTTTAATCAAAAAAAAATCTTCCCGAATTCTCCTCCATCCCCCCACTAATCCCACCGGTGATCCCTTTCCCTAATGCTAACGATGAGCAGTCGCCGCGACTTCTCCACGCCTAACCCCTCTCCTCCCTTCCGCGCTTCTTCTTCTTCCTCTCCTTCTCCTTCCTGGCGTTCCGTACTGATTTGGTCGTCGCGCCTGGGTTCGATTTGACCGCCCCCACCACCTGTCGTATCCGCCCGTGCAACCGCTCCGGCCGTTCGTTTCTTGGTTCCTGGTTCATCGGTTTTCTTGCGCTGGTTTAGGGATTATTGGGAGCGATACTTGTACAGGTGCGTGCCGAGTTCCTCCTCATAAAAGGCTTTCCGTTTCTTTACTTTTATTCTGATGTTGTTGTTCTAGTTTTATGTGGGCTGGGGTTAATCGTTTTCTTGCTTTATGCGTGATATATACCTTGGTTTCATGCATGACTATAAATGGAATTTTTGTTGCTGTTGGCTTCTTGCCGCGCATGGACTCAATCATTGAAACAGTTCTGAGCGTTCGATCAGTTCCGTGTCTGTCCATAATAAGAACTTAGGTGCGGCGGCTGCGCCGGAGGATCATGTGCTATTTTGGCTTGTGTACCAGAGTAAGGTTCATATTAGACAGTTACTAGTGCGGGTCCTTGTTAGTACTGTCATCATCATCAATGGAAGTAAACAGTCAGTAGTACAAAGTTCCATAAAAGTGGAAAAGGGGCTCAAAAGATCCAAAGAATAGAAGGAGGAAAATGTATCTTTAACAGTGCCAAGGCTGTCTTTTACCTGTAATAAGTTTCCTTTGACAGGTCAACCAAAAGTCGTAGTACTACTCAACTTAGAACCGTGTGGCTTAAATTGAAATCGTTGAACTGAAACTTTGCATGCCTAACTTGGTTTCTGAATGTCAGCGATTGACATTATGACAAAGTATTCAAAATTTGAATGGTAAGAGTACAGTACTTTTTTTGCGATTATTAGATTTTTTTTTCTTGGTGTGGCTCCTAGAAAATTTCATTACCAAGATGCAATCCTGCTTGCTGCAATATCTGATTGATCCCACCGGAGCCTGATTAGTCGTCTATCTTGCTCTCCGGCCTTAGCCCCGGATGAGCCTATCTTGTGTGTCGTGTGTGTTTTGGGCTTGTTGAGCTGTGCCCTCAGCGGTACCTCTGAACTTATTTGTTGTGTTTCTTGGGCGTGTGTTTCTGAACTAGTCCTTGTATGTGCTCGTGGCGGTTTGCTTTATTTATAAAGCGGGGCGAAAGCCTTTTTCGGTAATATCTGATTGATATCATCTAAATTTATATCATTTTACAGTTCTGCACTCTGCGTACCATGTGAACAAGTTTGAAGATAGGGCCATATCTGTGCTGCCGTGCAGCACAATGATATCTACTAAGACGCCACATTGGTGATTGTTGTAATTATATTGTTCAAAAGTAAGAGACGTTGAAGAAAATCGACATAGATTTGTGACGGTGGATACTGGTTATGGAAGGTATATTATTAATCAGAACAATTTGAATCAAAACGAGACAATGAGCAAAATGATGATTTAACAGGACTTCCCAGAGCCTTTACTGTTATGGAGATTTCATCACATGAACCATCAGAAGCAGAAATTTTAATTGGACATGAAGATGACACAGAATTGACACCTTGCGAAGGTATGCAATTTGAGTCTGAAGATGCTGCAAGGGATTTTTACAGCTTGTATGCGAGACATGCAGGTTTTCGAATTCGGATCAGCAGGTATACCCGCTCCAGACATGATAATTCAATCATTTCTCGTCGTATTGTATGCTCAAAGGAGGGATTTCATGAAACACGTAACTGTGAAGGCCTCCACCCTGACCAAAAACAGCAAGAACGGACAGGTACTAGAGTTGGTTGCAAGGCTATGATAATGATAAAAAAAATTGATCCTGGCAAATGGGTAGTTACTAAATTTGTGAAAACCCATAATCATGGATCAGTTCCACCAAGAAAACTTGATATTAGGTCAGCACATCAGGACCTTAATCCAGTTGAAAAGCCACATTCTACCGAGGAAGACTCTGTTGAGGAACCGGCTGAGGGAATGGAATTTGATTCTGAAGAAGCCGCGAAATTGTTCTATATAAATTATGCGAGGCTTAATGGTTTCCGTGCGCGTATTAGCAGGTATTGCCGTTCAAGACGTGATAATTCAATCATTTCTCGCCAGATTGTGTGCTCCAAGGAAGGCTTCCGTGAAGTTCGAGCCAAGAAAGAGATCACAGACGAAGGGAAAACGAAGCGCCCAAGAATGATAACCAGAGTTGGTTGCAAAGCTATGATTGTAGTGAAAAAGATGAACTCTGGAAAATGGATGGTATCTAAATTTGAGAAGGAGCATAATCATTCGTTGTTATCTTCTAAACAGGCCCCTAGTACATCGAACATTACTTCTGGAGAAAATGCTGAATTTGCTGCAAAGAGTTCAGATCCTGATGAAGTGAAGGTTGAGGAATACAGTGCAGGGATTCAATGTAATTCTACAGATTCACTCACTGTACTTTACAACCAATTATGTCAGGAGGCTATAAAATTTGCGAAAGAAGGATCAGTCACAGAAGAAATTTACCATGTGGCGATGTCTGCCTTGAAAGAGGCAGCAGAGAAGGTTGCTCAAGTCAAAAGTTGTCATCCAATAATGCCGCACCGTGGAGTTTCTGGTAGTGAAAGTAAACATAAGGTCGTACAGATGAAAACTATGAGTGCTTCGCAATGTTCAGATGTGGCCAAACAGAAAACAACACCTTCGCAGCTCACGGTGTTTCAAGAGTCTGTGTCCAAACTAATGTTCATTCCTACCAACCTGTTGACTGATTCCGGCTTAGCTAATTCTGATAGCAATCATCCGTCATTGTGTGCTTTCACCTCAAGTGGTAAATACACTATGTATAAGATGCTATCAATTAACCCAGTAACTTATTGCTTATAAACTCTTCTGTTTATAACAAATGTTGCATGTTCTATCAACAGGGAGACAATGCGGGCATGGATCAGAATGTTCCTATTTGCATGCTGAGAACAGAAAGGAGGACTGTCCTGAGAAATATCAGGTTACCCTGCCAACCTCCTCATCTGTTTCAGTGATATTCTCCACAGCATTTGATATTTCCTATTGGATTACAAGGTTCTTATTTGTAGTTCTAATTGCAGAATAGCACTTCGAGTCGGGCAACACAGGGAAATCATTCAACCTATCATGGACATTCTGAAGAAACTACAGTTGCTATTCCTGCTATACCTCTGACGCTTCACATGCCTTTGCCGAGGAATTCACCTGGAGCTTCTGCTGGTTAGATTTCATTTTCTTGTGCTGATTACAGAATAAATATTTATAACTTTATCTTCCCAGCAAAGAAGTACTCCCTCTGTAAAGAAATATAAGAGTGTTTAGATCACTAAAAAAACACTCTTATATTTCTTTACGGAGGGGAGTATCATGCATGTTGTTGCAGTAATTTTGAAAAAAAAATCTAATGTTTCCATTTGGTCTAGTTAATGATAGATTGACGGGTTATCATGTTTCCATGCCAAGTAGTTCTACTTGTGTGTTTTTAAGACGACAGCAGGTTTCATTGAGTGGGAGCAATTCTACTTGTTTAAGAAAGAGGAAAGGAGTAAGATGGAACATGGGAAATTCAGTATGGATAGAACTTATGATAAAACTGGTATAGGTTTCCTTTGACCATGACCTGCCCTTGTCGCTTCCTTTTTTTCGAGAAGGAGGAAAACCCTCGGCGTTTGCATTGATTGATGCACACAACCCTCCCCTTGTCGGTACCTAGGTGGTAAGCCCACAATTCCAACCCATGGAACATAAATAGTAGACGTGTACATAGAAAATTGATCTTTCAGGATAGGTGTCAAATTAGAAGCTGAGACCGGAAATGAGAGTAATTTTCATCATTTTTTGAATCTGTGGTTTCATCCTTTAAGATGTTCCATGTCCAGAATAGTAAATTGTATATCATAGCTTTGCAAATAGTTTGGTCAGGTTTTCAGTGCTGATTCTGGAACATTTTAAAATTTGGACATACTGCAAATTAAAATGTTTCTGTCCTCAGAGTCAATGACTATTGTATTTATAGTCCCATACTATTGCAGATAGCTTCAAAACAAGTTATACTGTTTTTCATGAATCAACACACGAAGCTACTGTTGTTTAAGGCTTTCACACACGCACATTAGTCTTTTCAACTTTTAATAGATCAAAGCAGTACAGGGCATTGACTGATATATGTTCATTTCCATGGGCTACAGATGGACAGTACAAATTGTTGGCTGCACCTATCGAAGCAGTTCCAATTTCATACCGCCCTGCAGAACCCATCAGACAACCAAAAAGAAGTTTTTGTAATTTAGGTCCATTGCCAGGTGTTATGTCTGAACTGACCAGGCAAGAAAAAGGTCCACACCCTCTTGTGCATGCTACAGCTCTTGCTTGTGGTGCTCGTGTTGTTCCTGTTGAGGAGGCAGCTTCGCTGATCAAGGCCATCGAGTCCAAGATCAGATCTGGAGGGGCCAAAATAGCAAGATTACCTTCAAGCAGGTTGACACGTCTAGTTCCTGAGGCGATCTCCATGTCATCGTCTAGTGAAGATGGCGAGGAGAATGACCACAGTGAGCCACCGGCGGTGAATGTCGAAGGCTACTGCCATGATGATCAGATATCTGAGGAAATGAAGTTGCAAGGTGAGGCATCAGAGTTGGAAACTGATTTTGAGAATTGTTCTGGGCATGAAAACCATGATACTGCTGATTGCTGACAGATGATGACTGAAGGATGAAAGTTGTCTGAAGATGTATTTTTCTGAACCATAAAGCTGTATGAAGATCGAAGCTACCCTGCAAGGTAGTAAATTTATACTATAATTTAAAACATTTGTGTATAATTGGATTTAGGATTCTAACCACTTGTCTCATGTCGATTATAGACTGTAATTGGGTTAACTCAAATAGTTAACTCCATTGAAGGGTTTTGTAAAAAAGAAAAGAACCACCCTTGCAGTGTTGGTGGATAATCTGTACATGAACTACTTTTATAGAAAGCAAAGATAAAGGCATTCATACTTCCACTGGCTGTATCTTTCTGGAGAGAACATTTAGCAGTCAATAATGTTATGATCGTTTTGAGAATAAAAAATTTATGATCAAATTCGATGATGGTTTTGCTTCTTCGCATCCATTCTGTAGCAACTTCTTTGTAAGCAAACACGTACCAGGAGTTCAGCATTTTACATATCTGTCAAAAGCACACCTGCTATCCTGTGCCTTGAACTGAAATGATGACCGTGTGTTTGGAATCGGTTTTGCATTCAACTACTTTCTTTCATATATTCACTATTTTATGAACTGATGTTCTACTTGCACGGGTTATTGTATGAGTTTTGCACATTTCAACATCCCACACTAAAAAGATAAGGATTTTTTTTAACTTGAAGCCTTCATACACCCATATAAGAGAAGAAAAAAATAGTTGTATTTATCTATTGGTTCAACAAGATTCTGTGATTATGACTTTCGTCTCCACTCATCCCCCCTTTTTCAAGTGACCAGAATCTATTTCCATTTGGTTGCGATCGTCAAAATTGACTGCAAACGCTGCACCGTAAACAAGGGGCAAGACACGTTTGCAACCACTTCTACTTACCGGCGCAGACATTTAATTTTGATGCAAACAATCAGAAGAAGAGAAAACCTGTCATGTCAAAAGGAGGCATTGCTTTTTTTTTCAGCGCCACAAAGTTTATTGGCTCGTTTCCATCTTCATTTCTTGTAGAAACAGATACTGATCAACATCACTCTTTTATGCCTGAAACTGAAAGTCTCCAAACCCGTAGGGATGACATGAAGTAGCCACACTGGTCTACCTCGCGTGCGCGCACCGGCTCTATCTTGGAGGCAGCAGCAAGGGAAATCAAAGAACTTGTGATTTGTCAAAACATCGTGCTCTCGCCTGCTAGATTTAAAATTATCGCTGACTTTTAGCTACTCCATCACCACGAAAAGGAAAGCTCGCTTTGTCCAAACCGTGTCGTACCAAACCTGTACTTCAGTACATCTGATGTACGGCGAATACGACTTCTCTTTTGTTTTCTCTTAGTAGCAATACAGTAAAAGTTTAAGTCTGACCATCTACACGAAGTCTTAATATGACCAGCATTTCTTTCCATTTTTTAAAAAGTTGTTCGTCTGATCCGCAGTGGTTTCTCTATCTACTATTTTTGCATTAACAGCCATTTTGCACTGGTCTGCAAGTCCTTTTCCGGTTTAATAAAGCTAGGCATGAGAGTCCTTATTATCTGACTATCTTGCAGCAAAAGCACCAGTGATGGGTTATCATCTATTCATACGTGACCTGCTATATTATTTCAAATCTCAGCCACATTTTTCGATCAGTATCTAACCATCATCGTCCCAACCTCATTTTATTGTAACAATTTACATAACAAAACTGCACACGTTCAAAAGAATGCAATTTTAGACAGTATTATGGAATTCTAAGGGTCTCTTTGGATTGTAGGATTTTCACTGAAATTTTGGAGGATTTAGGGTTGCTAAATTCCTATTGATTGCTTTAGCAACAAAAAATAAATCCTATTGATTGCATTCATGTAGAGTACCCTCAATTTCATAGGCTCGAACCTCACTTTATTTTTACTTCAAGAAGCTCTCTCTTCAATCCGCGGAGAATTGCCCTGTTTTGAAATCTTATAGAAAAATCCAGAGTAGCCTGTGTTTTCTTATCAGTACGTTTAACAGGACTCAGATTTCAAGATTTTCAGGAGGTCGGAAATTAGCAAAAGCGATGTATACAAGACAAGAGGCACATTCCCAAGCAGAATAATATGGCGTTATGCATTAACAGGGAAGAACATAGGGTCACACGATTCATATCAGGCAGACCGATCCGAGTTCCAAATCTGAAAGCACAGTGCATCTGTACATACCCAAAACAAGCACCAATCTGTGACAGAAACTACTAACATTGCGCATGAAAAATATACGGAACCAAGTCTACTAGTACCCCCCCGCACATGGACCCGATTTTCGTCGTCATCATCATCAACCTAGACACAGCACACACACACCACCGCTTTATTCTGAAAAAAACACATTTCCTTCACATCGCACTCTTCATCTGCTTCATGGGAAATCAGACTTTGGGTCCAGCAGCGAGGATCTCCTCGGTGAGGGTGCTGTCCTCCCCGATCTTGTAGCTGGCGAACACCTCGAAGTTCTTCCCGAACAGGCCGGCCAGCTTCAGGAGCGTCTCCTTGTACGCGGCCTTGTCCGTCCACTGCACGCGAGAAAGCAATCGCTCAGTGCATGCTCACAAGAAGAGAAGCAACCAAAGCAGAAAAATGGCTGGATGAGCTGAAGAGGGCTTACGGTGTTGATCGGGTCGAGGATCTCAGACGGCACGCCCTCGATGGCGGTGGGGATCTCGAGGCCGAAGACCTCGGTCTTCTGGTAGTTGGCCGTGAGGAGCTCGCCGGAGTGGATGGCGTCGATGATCTTCCTGGTGTACGGCAGCTTGATCCGCTTGCCGACGCCGTACCTGGACAGCGACGAATGCAGGGTCAGCTCATCATCTCATACGCATGGTGGTCGTGAGGAATCGCATTGCAAGGATATGATAGACAGGGATCGCACCTTCCGCCGGACCAGCCGGTGTTGACGAGCCACCCGGTGGCGCCGTAGGTCTGCATCTTCTCGGCGAGCATGGCGGCGTACTTGGTCGGGTGGAGCATGATGAAGGCCGCGCCGAAGCAGGCCGAGAAGGTGGCCTGCGGCTCCTTGATGCCGTCCTCTGTACCGGCAACCTGTCACGATGACGATGGCAAAAGCGATCAGAGAGGCATCCCTGAGGAACAAACAAGCTGGTGAATCAACGAATGCTTAGCAGAGTGTTATTACGAGAGCAGTGTAACCGCTGATGAAGTGGTACATGGTCTGCGCCAGGTTCAGCTTGCTGACGGGCGGGAGCACGCCGAAGGCGTCGCACGCCAGGAGGATGACGTTCTTGGGGTGCGGCCCGACGCACGGTATCTTGGCGTTGGGGATGTACTCGATCGGGTACGCGGCACGGGTGTTCTCTGCGATACGGTCCGGGATGCAATGTTATTACTACCATCTTTGCTACGTGATTTCTGTCAGATTTTATCTGTGGTTGGCGATAATGATGGGTTTTTACCTGTGACAGATTTGTCGGTGTAGTCCACCTCGCGGGTGTGCTCGTCGAAGACGACGTTCTCCAGCACTGCACGAAGAACATTTCAGTCGGATGCAAGCCACGGCAAATACGATTCCCACTGTTAAATTGTTTAGGTTTGAAAAGACCAGAGAGATAGAGAGAGCTACCTGTTCCGAACTTGATGGCGTTCCAAATATCAGGCTCTTTCTCCCGGGAGAGGTCTATGCACTTGGCGTAGCAGCCGCCCTCGATGTTGGAGACGCCATTGTCACTCCAGCAGTGCTCGTCGTCGCCGATCAGGAGCCTGTTGTGGTCGGTCGACAGCGTCGTCTTTCCAGTACCTGTTGTTGTTGTTGCGAGAGAAACAAAATACAAATCAATTTTCCCAACTTTTTCACAAAACATGTGGCAAATGCAGACAAAAAATGCGTTTCATATTTTTGGAAAACTGAAAAAGTGACATCACACGATAACGAAACTAGAGCTGTATGGTATGGACAGGCTGATGAGCAAGGCGAAGGCGTCAGTCAGGTGCATGCGATTGGGCAGGTAACGGCACCGCAGCGTTCTTGCGGCCGGATCCATCCATGGATGATGGGTCTGTTCCGTTCTGTTAACGAACGTACCTGAGAGTCCAAAGAAGAGGGCGACGTCGCCGTCGCGGCCCATGTTGCAGCCGGAGTGGAGGGAGAGGATGCGCCTCTTGGGCATGAGGTAGTGCATGACGCCGAAGAGGCCCTTCTTCATCTCCCCGGCGTACTGCGTGCCCAGGATGACCATCTCCCGCCGCCCCAGGTTGATGTCCACGCTCGTCGACGACGTCATGTAGTGCGTGTAGCGGTTGCAGGGGAACTTGCCGGCGTTGTATATCGTGAAGTCCGGCGTGCCGAAGCTCTCCAGCTCCTCCTCCGTCGGCCGGATACACCTGATGCACATACCATGAGTGGTCACTACTACTCCCTCTGTTCCTAAATACTTATCTTTCTAGGCATTTCAACAAGTGACCACATACGGAGCAAAATGAGTGAATCTACACTCTAAAATATGTCTATATACATCCTATGTAGTAGTCATTTAAAATGTCTAGAAAGACAAATATTTAGGAACGGAGGAAGTACAATTCTTACTGTAAAAAACGTACTGCAAGTGGTAGTATTATTATTACATGTTGTGCATGAAGAGCGAGTGGTAGGCCCTGGCGGAGATGATGCGGACTTTGATGCGGTTCTCGGGGTCCCAGTTGAGGAACTGGTCGTTGACGTACACCTTGTCCAGGGAGTTGAGGTAGTCCACGGCCCTCTCCCTGTTGGTCAGGAACGTGTGCTCGTCCATCTCGATGTTCGGCGAGCCCCTGCAATTACATGTTCATCACTTGTCTGAAGACTAGGAAGAAGGAAGAAGCACATGTTCAGTTCAGCTATGGCGGCAGAGCACTCACTTGCCCCACCAGAGCTCCTGCGCCGCGGCCTCGTCCTTGACGATGCGCTTGTCCCTGGGCGACCGGCCGGTCTTGGCGCCGGACAGCGTCGCCAGCGCGCCGGTGGCCGTGATGAACGACCCCTTCTCGTACTTGATGGCCTGCTCGTACAGCTCTGTTTTTTTTTGAGTTGTTTGGAACACAGCATCAGAACACACGGGCCACGGCATGCAGAGATATCTTAACAGATTTCAGACGACAGCCGCGTACCGCCGGGCGAGAGGTTGTAGAGGACGTGGGTGAACTTGAGGGAGCTGTCGCTGACGCTGATGGTGGGGGCGACGTGGTGGTGGTGGTGGTGATGGGGCTGCGGCGGCGGCGGCGCGGCCGCCGGCGCGCTGGTCTTGGCGGCGGCCTCGCCCTTCCTGGCCGGATCGCCCCTCACCACCTTGGGCCCGGTCTCACGGGTCAGCGACGCCAACGACGCGCTGCATCCATCACAGCGTCAGTTTGCATGTGGTACAAAACCATTTTCATCAGAACTAAAAATGCACCCGGCAGTGAGTTCACCATGTAACGCGAGCTCATTTGTCAACGCAGCAGATCGATCTATGTACGCGATGAGCTAGACCAAAAAAAGACAGTGTTTGAGGAACTAATACGAAAAGGACACGAGGTTTCTTGGGAATACGGTGGCCGGCTGCACCGGCACGACGGCGACGGCGACGTCGCGTCAAGCCAATGTTTCCGGCACCCCCATGCCCAAGTTGCCGCCGGCCCCATGCGTGCATCATCCCAGATCGCGTGCGCGATCGTGTCCGCTACGCGCGTGAACCACCGCCCCTTCGTGATTTCGCACTTCCTAGAATGCTTTGTGCTGACATTACGCTCTAGAAAAGATGTTGCCGCCCTTGTTATTTTTTGTATTGTAGTATGAATAATCAAGGAACAAACTTTGTGGTGCGAGCTTTTAGTATATGGGACTTCTCTGCGGTGCGATAAGAACAAAACTATTTAAGTGACATTTTGGCACTTCGATGCAGGCATGAGGCCACGTGAATACATACGTGGAACCATGCCCAGAAGATGTGGCGCAGATTTTATTGCGACGGTGGCACAGGCACTTTTGGTTGGAAAACGACCAGCGGGGTGATCGTCGTCACAGCCCTCTTTTTTTTCTGCCCTAGTGATTCCAGTTTTCTTCAATTCAATTCATTTACGGATTTACCCCTCGCCTAAAAAGTTTCATCCAGACTATTCCCGTCTCATCAAAATAAAAAACTTTATATTCTTCCTTCTTCTTCCTTCTTAACTTGGTGTTACTTTCTGTAAAAACAAAAACTATGGCCCAGCGTCCAGTGTCTATAGGCGAAATGCTCAAGGGTGGACCGAGCGGTGACGTGTATTGCCGTCATCCGACGCGCACGTGGCGGTCAAATGGACAAGTACAGTAGAAGATTATTATCGTGCATGTCCCGTCCTCCGTTCTTTCTTCCCAAGTCCAGCGAAAAGCAAAGCGTTAAATAAAAGGAGGCCTTAAAATATTCGCCATTCTCCAATTAATTGTATAATTGCCAAGAAATATTAATGGCCGCTTTTATCATGTCAGGGTAGAAGCAAAGGCAGAAGCGAACGGGGGTGCGCGAGAGGAGAGGAGAGGATTGATCCGTTGATTGACCTGATGGACTGGAGCTGCTGCTTCCGGCGGTCCTCGTCGGAGACGGCGACGGCGAAGGGGGAGGCGCCGGTGTCCTTGATGGGCGTGGTGGGCGCCGAGCGCTTCCGCTGCATGGAGTGCAGCTCGTCGATGTTCTGCGCCCGCACCGGCGCCGAGCTGTCGTCGTGGCAGATCCCGTTCTCGTGCTTGGCCGCCGCCGCCGCCGCCTTCTTCTCCGGGTGCGTCGTGTCGATCCGCGCCAGCCCGTTCGGCGCCGCCATGGCCGCCCCGCCTTCTTCTGCTCTTCCAAGAAAACAACGACAAGAACAACCAACATTAGCAACCCAGCGATCCTACGCTACGCTACGCACCATTGGTGCGAGCAAGAACCAGAGGAAGAGAGAGGATTTGTACGAGGCACGCACGAGGAGAGGAGAGAACAGGGGTACGTGAGGCAGTAGGGGGGTGGTGGCGGTGGCACACGACGGCACAAGGAGCTAGTGAGAGATGTGTAGAGCCCCGGCGAGGGAGGCTTTTAAAGGGGCCGGAGCTAACCATGGTTAGGTTACTTGACCATGCCCTTCGGGTTGGCTTGAGGGAAGGGAAGCTTGTGGTGAAAGCGGGTGCGGGAAATCACCACCAAAGTTCACCGCGCGCACTAAATGAGTTCAGATGGGGGACGAATACGCCCCCGCGTTGGGTTGTGACTTGTGACCCATATGATGAAAGGAACCACAGCGTGTGAATTGTGATATAGTACTAGTAGTGTGGAATAAAACGATTGGACTGGTGATTTTTTTTTTTGGCTATTTAGGATGGTGTGTAAGATGGGTTGATTTTGGAATTATGGCAAAGGATTCAAATCGGGCGGCCGATCACGCGCACCGATCGGTTGCGCTCCGCACGGGTCAGGCGTCGGTGGACCCATGCGTCGCCGAACACCGCTCAACCTTATCTCGAGCACGGCTGACCGAGGGTGTGCGTCATGCGCAGTTGTCACACCGAGAAAACGCCGCAAGGCTAGACTGCGCGATTTGGGGCGTTGTTCTACGCCACCAACCCCGGGCGTTGGCGCTGCCGCATGAAAGACGAGAGGAGGCGATATGTGTGGCAATGCACGGAAGCTTCCCCAACACCGCTGATTGTTGCCGGATGGCGTTGGAGATGGCTAGTTACGTTGACAGCTAGATGTGATAAAGGCAAGGTGTGGCGTTGCCCGGGAGCTTCCTCAGTGCCGCTGATTGTTGCTAGATGGCGTTGGGGATGGCCAGTTACATCGATAGCCAAATGTGATAAAGGCAAGGTGTGACGTTTCCCGGGAGCTTCCCCGACGCTGCTGATTGTTGCCAGATGGAGTTGGAGATGGCTAGTTACGTTGACGGCCAGATGTGATAAAGGCAAGGTGTGGCGTTGCCCGGGAGCTTCCTCGATGCCACTAATTGTTGCTAGATGGCGTTGGGGATGGCTAGTTATATGGACAACCAAATGTGATAAAGGCAAAGTGTGACGTTTCCCGGGAGCTTCCCCGACGCTGTTGATTGTTGCCAGATGGCGTTGGAGATGGCTAGTTACGTCGACGGATGTGATAAAGGCAAGGCGTAGTTTGACCACATGATGCTACCACCTGTGGACGGTGGCGTTGCAACCGTTGATGGACGGTAGAGTTACAGCACGCAAGGAGCTGCAATCGCGGGGTGGGCTGCGAACTACGACGACCAAGGAGCCACGACGGCGGTGTCTATGTGTTGTAATCGTACCAGAAAAGGCTTTCATCCCGCTTTATAAATAAATCTACCACCAGAAGCACAAGGTCCAACAAACGTTCACACTGCACACACGTACGCCAAAGTAACAGACAACAAAGAAAGTGCAACAGAGGGTTCTGCTAAGGACAACAAGCCCTAAAGAGAAAATAAAAGGCGGCAACACAAGCCATGAAGGGCTAATCCGGCTTTGATGAAGGTGGAGGAAGCGGTGGTGCCAGCCAGAGAGCCATTGCGCGAAAATCTGCAATGATGATGTTGATGGTGTTGCGGTTCTGAGGGCGGCTAAGCGGCCGCCACTGCAATGATGTGTTGTAATCGTTGATGACAGAATCATCGTACATCAACCTAGCAAGCTGCAACCGCTAGAACGCTGCCCGCATGTTGTAACCATTGATGGCAAAAGCTACACCCGTCAAGACGGAAGCCAACACTTTTATTATGTATTTAGTGATATTAAATTTTATTGTAGTTGTTGGATTTTTTTTCTACAAAATTGGTAATATATTACACCATTTGAATTAGGAGACGATTTATACGTGTTCTTTTCAGAGACGGAAGGAGTAGTAAAGAATTTCAACATTTGTAGGAAGTATTTACTCCCACATTCAGAATAGTACGTAAAAGAAGCCGTTTATTTTTGTTATCATTCTTTGTGATCTCGAGGATTTCAGATATCTTGGAGGTAACTGGTGATGTATTTGTCTCTGAACGCAAAGTTTTCAAAGCTACAAGAGTGCTTGGTTACACAATGGCATGAAGTTTCGACCATCTTCAAACTTACCTTTTCAAGTGCAAATATTAACTCGTTGCAAAATTGTTGCCTTTTTATCTACAAATGGCTTATTATCTTATACACCCCAATATAAGTTTTATGGCAAAAATATCATCGAAGCCTTTAGTTTGTGCAATATACATTTTTAATTATTTTTTTAGACTTATTTGCTCATGTAATACTTTACTGAAAAAAATTGAGTTATGTAATCCAGTTTGCCCCATCCCTTACCCTCATTTACTGTTTGTTAGACCCACTTTTCACTTTTGCATGTTTTTATGGCTAATTTTCTACAACAGATTATAAATACACAACACACACACACTGTTCAGCAACTGCAAAGTAAACCTCTTTCTTTGTAATCCAAAACTGAGATCAATGAAATGACAGATATCAGCACAACGGGGTGATGGATAACTATGAATATCCTCGCACGCAGTGGATTAAAATACCAATTCGAATCGTAACCAAGAGAATTCCAATAGAAATTCATCGTTTCTCGTTTTGCGAAACGCGGCAGGAGGTGTAGCCCGTTCACTGACAGGATGACATTATGTATGTGTTGTGTTACTGTAATACTATAACACTTTTGACTTGACAATGCAGTAGGTGATTTCAAATGGGATTTCCCCGCCTGCTTATCATCATCCAGTACATAGCCAAGTGACCAGCCAGGTTATTACTAGTATGCATCCAGGCCCTCTGTCATTGGCGTTATCATTTGCAGATAATCTGACCATCTTACCGGGTCGCTGCAGGCCTAGCTCCAGCTGCTATCCAACCTCTCAGGATAATCCAACAGAAAATTAGGCTAGCACTGCTGAGCAGCTCGACATGTCATGTAGTATAAAAAATAAATAAGATCGGAGGGTGTCAACGTTTGATCGAGCACTGGCTTAGCTAGCCAGAGTTCGTGCGTTGCCATTGCACATGTGTCAATGTGTGTGTGATATGGATGGATAGGGATGACAACGTACGTATTGCCCCTTGCGAAAACAAAGCACCATTTTCTCCACCTGTTATCTGCTTAACATGTATGCTACTACTCGCTTATTTTTTAATGGAATACACAAGTCAGATCTTAGGAGCAACATCAGGTTCAGTACTAGCAGTACTCCCTCTGTATCTTTTTAGTTCACATATAAGAATTGGTCAAAATCAAACTTTGTAAATGATGATATTTCCGTTTGGTCAAAGTCATACTAGCTTTGGAGGAAAAGATATCAACATTCACACTGAAATTAACATTATTAGATGAATGATCAAATTAATTTTCATAGCATATAACTTTAGTATTGTAGATGATGACATTTTTTTCTATAAAGTTAATCAAACTTTGTAAAATTTAACTTTGATCAAATCTTATATGCAGACAATTTTTTTTTGAGTATGATAGAAGATGGCCGTAGTCTAAAAGCAAGGAACTCACGGTGCATTCTGAGGTCAACGGAATTTATATTACATTAACTAATTTGATTTGACAGGTGTTCATGGATTAGTCCCCTCCAACTTTTTATTTTTCTTGTGTTTGTGTGTGTATCGGTCCTTTTCATCTGTCGCTCTGCTCTTCCGTTTACTGGCTGCTAACTTCTCTGATAAGATCGTTCTTAGGATTTTTGGCTAGCCATGAGGAGGATACTGCCGTGAAGCAGCAAGGGAGTCATTCGGTCGAGAAGGCAACCAAATTGGTCCCATGAATCCATTTTATATAAATCAGGCATGACCGTGAATGCAGTGAATCAAACGCACAGCGAGCGTGACATTACCTTGCGTTTGGGGCATGATCTTTGTGAACTCCACTAGAGAATTCTGCACGCAGAAGCGAAATGCAAGTGCGATATTTATTTTGACTTTTCGGATGAGCTCGCCATTACTGACTGGCTCCTGGCAAAGCGAGAGAGATCATCTGCGGCGTTTAATCAAATGTGCATCCGCTGTTACAGGAGGTGGCAAGGGAAGAAAATAAAACGTGGGAATGGATTGGATGCTCGCGTTGCGTTGCGTTGCGTGCACCGAACCCGTCCTTAATACTGGTGTTTGACTTGTTTCCCGCATAAGCAAGATGGAGGATCGGTGGTGGGAAACGTTTGTTTTTCTTGATTGAGAGTACCGTACAGCTGCGATCGTATGTCCATGTGCAGATAGATCCCTTTTCTTTTACCGGTTCGTCCGTTATCCGACGCTAATCCGTGTCACACGCGCGCGCACCGTCTAACATTATCCTCCCGACTCAACCACCGGATGGACTGGATGCCCTCGATAGGCGGCCTCTGTGTCCATGACTTGATCTGGTCCTAGCTCCGGCAACGTGCCCTTCCGGCCTTCCCCTTTCGACGGGGCAGCACTGGGAAGAGCCATAGGAGTTTCGCCGAAGCTATGTGCCGGCGACTAGGGAGGAACCGCGCATGTGTTGGATCCATTGCTGGTCAAAATGGCTGCCAGTTGGTGCGCCTGCTTCTGATATCCCGTGCTTGTTATCATTTTATTTTCGTTTGGTCCAGCTTACTGCGGAAACCACGTCGGTGTAGCATTTTTGAGCAGGGGACGAGGGCGTGATGGTGCCTACAGCGTTGGTGAGGCGCCGACGTACGTAGGCGCACGAGGAGCCGGCAACGGCATCGCTTGGCGGCGTAAACTTGCCGGGCGGCGCCGCGCCGCACGCCCTCTCGCAAGTCACAGGGCCACCGCGGGCCGTTGGGATCATCAGCTCGTCATGGCCGCCGTAACAGTCCACTCCCCACACCGGTAGGGGCCGTGTGCTCGACGTCACTTACCTATAACCAGCCGGTACATCGGGATAGGCCAGGCCTGTCGTCGTCGACACGTTGTTCCGCTATTTCTCGACCATGGTTTAGGTACAGGCCGCTAATTTCTTCCCTAAAACCCTTACGGCGACTAGGGCTAGGCGACTCTGACGGCGGCGGCTGATTCCTTCGGCGGGGCGCTCGCGTGAACCCGGCGGCGATGGCGACATCAGGCGCGGGCAACGGCAAGCAAGGTAGCGGCTCTCTCTCTCCGCG